CCACTGGATCCTCTGCAGTGAATGGGTGCCGTCAGAATGAGAGTCCAAACAGCTGATAAAAACATCACAATAATCCACACCACCCCAGTCCATCAATTAACATCTTGTGAAGTGAGTGGTGTGGATTTGTGTGATGTATTTATCAGCTGTTTGGACTCTCATTCTGACGGCACCCATTCACTGCAGAGGATCCAGTGGTGAGCAAGTGAAGGAATGCTACATTTCTCCAAATCTGTTCTGAGAAAGAAACAAACTCATCTTGGATGGCTTGAGGGTGAACTGTTCTTTTAATCTGTTCATTTAAAGATCTATTAGCGCATCCAAAAAGCAAGTTTAAGTTGCCAGCATGCTGCCATTGCAGTCACTCTCGTTACTGCGGTTGACAGGCGGCGCATGAGGAATAGCAGCGTGCCAGACTACAGGCATTTCTGTAAAACAAAGTCATTTAAAGCACATAAAAGGCTACGAAGTGATGCGCGGGTGTCTTAGAAGCACGCTGTCACCCTCACACATGCATTGGGGCGCTGCGGCATTCTTTCATGCTGTCTGCGCAGTGTCAGAGCTGGCATCCACAGAGACGTCGCGCGTGTGGAAAGACAGCCCGGGTTTTCCCACTCTTCCTACAGTATGTTGCTAGGCAACCCCTGCCACGAAGAGCCGCCGGAGTGCCATTGGCCGCCTTCCTCGGCTCGATCACGCATCATTAACCCGACAGCACCTCTCCTTGCTTACCGCCCGTCAAATCCGAGGGGCTCGCAGACGCGAGAGCCCACCACCACTGAGGTTAACAGAGTGTGAAAGTAACGCCAGGATTGAATACAAATCATCTTGAAATATGCTCGCGCTGCTCACGGTAATGGCTTCCCCCTCTTGAGCATTATTGCTCTATTTGTACGAAGTCAAACACTGTCTCCCCAGGCTTGTGTGCCGCCTCATTGGCCAGCGATCTGCATCTAGAGACCGTCGTTTAAGCCGTGATCTCCTTTCAGAGAGGGTTTACAGCTGTGGGAGCGTTTGCACACCTAGATGTCATCGCTGAGAATGCGAGACGGAGCACAACAGATACACAGTTATAGGCGGATTAACTCTCACACGCTGTTGCTAATGTATACAAAAAGACAGAAACAGCACAGGGTTTGATGAACGTTCCCATTGTCAGTCATTCAGGGGTTTAGGAGGGACAGGATTTGTCCTAATTCCTCTTCATTCCCTAACTGTGCTTTGCCAAGTTGCTGATCACCAAATATGCAAGTTGATGCATGTAAATATGCGGCCATTTGCAATATTCTGAGGTTTTTGTTGTTTAGTTTAGTGTTTTTAAACACAAAAATTCCACTGTGAACACACATGTCGATATCCAAAAAGGACCAAATCGCCATAAAAAGAAGCATAATAAATTTCAGTCTGTTCCTCACAAACTGTTATGTTTTATAGTATTAAATTAGTATTAATTACTTGATATTACATTTCATTTATACATTTTTGTCTATATATTTAAGTTTAATTATTGCAGTATTATTTATAGTTTTAATCTTATAGTATTAGTTAGATTTATATATTATGGTTTTACATTTTACGTTTTTATTTGTGGTTTAAATTAGGTTTACATTTTATATTTTCAGTTTTCATTTTAATTTAATTTTTATTGGTTTTATGGTCTTTCAACATTTTTATTAGCTTTTGTATAATAAATTTAACATAGCATAACCTTTTTAAATATAAATTGAAATTCCTTGTTCCTCACGCAAACAGTATTCTTTATATATATTAGGGATGTGCATCTAAGTAACTGAGGACGATACGATACACATCTCGTTAAAGATACATATTAAGCAGCTACCGATGCGATGCGATACGATTCACCCCATTACGATACAGTGCGATCTGATTTCGATTCGATTCAACATAATGCGATTCAATGCAATATGATGCAATAGAAAAAATATGATGCTATGCAATTCAGTATTGTACATATAGATAGTTTTCATGTATTCCTTTGGTTCAGACAGACAGCAAATCATAAATTAACTTAAGTGCATTCTGACTTCTAAACCCTCGGTGTCCGTAGTGTTGTGATACGTCATATTCACGTAGCAGCAGTGGCGCTTGAGAAACCAACCTACTTAGAAAATATTGGTCACTTTCTAAATAATAAAAGTATAGCGCATCCACTAATAACTATATATAAATAAACCGGTTTTAACTGATGCAAATATGTTAGAAACGATGCATCGCGATACAAATGGCAACTTTTTAAAATCGATGCATCGCATCGTTAACTTTTATGCCGATGCACCGAGCGAATCGGGGAATCTTACCATCCCTAATATATATAATTACAGTTTTTATTAATATTTTAAATTATCTTTTATTTTTAGATTTTTCCATTTGAATTCTAATAAATTTTTTAGTGAGTTTTGTTTTATGCTTAACCTGTTTTTGTAACAATTTTATAATAATAAGTTTACATAACAACCAGTGTTATTTTAGTATTATTTATGTGATTACCGTTTTTATTAATACTTTGAATTAGCTTCTATTATTATATTTTCAGTTTTATTTTTCATTTTAGTTTGATTTATAGTAATTGTATTTATTTATATTTTTTGTATTTATATTTAAGTTTAATTAATTTTTAGTTTAGCTTTAGTTTTTTTTAGTGTTTCAACTTAGACTTCTTTCAGTTAGTTGCCAAGACAGCAATTTTCCTTAATTTTTTCCTTCTAATATTTATTTAATTTAATTTCAGCTTCATTTCAAAAATGTTTTTAATATCTTTAGTTTTAGTAAATGATAATAAACCTGCACTCAAAACAATCATATGTCAATATATGTCAAACAAATGTCATTTTATTTAGTTATTATTGTTCATTTTAGATTCAAACCCAACGACAAACTTTGGCAAATCCTGTGCTTAATTCTTCATCAAGTGCTTATTGCAGATTTGTTTCCTGGCAGCTTGAGTCCTGAAACCAGCCAGTCAGATTGAAACTTTGCATTTTCACTCGTATCTTGTCATATTTGTGTGCAACGTGCATCATATCGGTGGCATTTATTTTGAAGATGCAGCACACCAAACTAAACTATCACTGAAAAGAGATGCTTCCTCTCCTCAGTGGCCGTTCTTAGATCAGTGCGAACGAAAGAAAGACAGAAACAGAACGGTGCAGTTCTTTGGTGACGAATCTCTTCTGTGTTCTTTGCCTTGATGCTAATGCAGTCTGAAAGGATTTATGTCTGTCTGTCTGCTGCGCCCACGCTCGCATCTTCTCATCTCTGCTTCCTCCCTTCTTTCTTTTCTTCCTCTCTTTTTCTTTCTCTTTTAAATGTGTTATTAGCCACCTGTTTTCTGACCGCGTCACAAGCGTTGTCCGTCCTCGTTTGCACCGCGCGGCTCAAGGAGAAACTTGACACTCGCAATTTACTGCAACAAGCCGCCAGTCTGGACGATAAAAACACCAAACACAAAGAGATGGACCTGCTGTATGTGACACAATAAGCCCTGTCCTCGCGTCTCCCACGAGGCTTTAATCCGAACCAGCAGAATAAACTCGCCTCGTGGTGGTGTGTGTTGAGATGACGGGAAGTGAATGTGCGCCCACGTCCCATAGTATCTTTGATCCTGGTAACTAAAGTTGTCAAAGCTTATGAATACATGAAAAGCTTGACTAGTTGCAGGGATTTTGTTGCCGGCAGGAGTTCAGATGGCTTGAAACTCTCTCAAATTGGCCACGAGCCATCCTTATTGTTGTGCATATTGAGCTGGGACATCCCACAAACAAAATATTGGACTATTATTTGCAGTGATTTAAGGCACATTTTAAGTTCTTTTAGACTAGTTTTACAATTGTTCTGTATATCACGATTCAAGAATCGGAGCATGTTTTAATAACGTCTCTGATTTGAAATTCAACTAGTTGATGTGGTTAATTTCTATTAATCAATTCAAACTGTTGATTCAAATGAAATGATTCAATTCTGAACTCTGATGGAAATAAGCTTTCATATATTAAAAATGATTCTATTAAAATGTGTTGGTAAATATTGTTTATTATAAAGTATTGTGATATTGGTGCATATCAATTGGAAATTGGTGTTTATTGATTTTTGCTGGTTTTCAATCATCTGTTTTAAATTGTCACAACAGTTGATTGGTTGGAGGCATGGTTTCTCATATTTAATTGCAAACTGCAATACATGTGGAAATTTACACTACTGTTCAGAAATTTATGGTCAGTACATTTTTTAAGAAATAAATTGTTAAATTATAATATTTAGCAAGGATGCATAAAATGAGTCAGATCTGACAGTAAAAACATTTATAATATTACAAAATATTTCTGTTTCAATTGAATGCTGTTCTTTTGAACTTGTTATTCATCAAAGAATCCTGGGAAAAAAATGTATCGGGGTTCAAAAATTTGAAGCAGCACAACTGTTTTAAACATAGATAACAATAAGAAATGTTTCTTGAGTAACATATCAGCATATTTTCATGATTTCTGAAGGATCATGTGACACTGAAGACTGGAGTAATGATGCTGAAATTTCAGCTTTGCATCACAGGAATAAATTACATTTTAAAATATATTCAAATAGAAAACAGTTATTTTAAATTGTAATATTTAAAATTATTACTGTTTTTTTTTTCTTGGTGAGCATAAGTCTCTCTCTCTCTCTCTCTCTCTCTCTCACTCTCTCTAT